TAGGCTCTAGCGCATCTAGAGATTTGGGAGAGATCGATCCTCCTCTCGAATTGAGGATCAAGTGTATCTTGCTATTTTAATCATCGTTTAGTGGAATACAAGCCTTTCTTTGAGTTTTCTATCAGATTTTCTTTGGATTAGTGCTGTTTTTCTGCTGTAAACAGCAGATCTCTGTTGTTTTCCAGCTGTGGACAGCCATTTGGCTGCTGTTTGTTCACCGATTTGGGTTAGGTTTGCTTGCGAATCAAGTATTACCTTAGGGTTACTTGCGAACTCAAGTATTTCCTATCAAATTGGTATCAGAGCATCATTTTGGACCGTTGGCAGCTGAAATCTGAAATTTCAGCGGGAGTTTCGTTTCCGGAAAAAGATCTTCGTGAATCTTGAGAAGAATGATGGCGGAAAGAAGGTTGACGTCTTGAAGGCGAAGTCGCCAATTGAAAGCCAATTTGGAGGAAAGATTCTTCAACCTTCAAAATCAAATCACCTCCAACAATGAAAGGTTGGAGGGGAAGTTCACCGCAATAAAGGAAATGTTGAAGAAACTACTTGAGATGAAAACCAATCCGGCGACATCGGAAGTAAGAGAGATCGCCGACGGCCATGCATGGGAGGAAATCCGAACCCCTTGCAGGGGAGGAGAAAATTCGGAGGGGACTTTTCTATCGCACAACAAGCCTGATGCATTCCTCCACTTCAACCATCCAACTTGAATTCTGCTGATAATATCCCCATCTATTTCACCGTCACTCTGAACAATAGATCCAAGATATCTAAAATGTGTACTCTTATTAATGACTTGATCGCCCAAAGTCACAAACCCCCCACTAGGTCTATTACTACTAAAATTACACTCCATATATTCAGTTTTAGATCTACTCAATTGAAAACCTTTAGACTCTAAGGTTGATCTCCATAATTCAAGTTTTCTTTCCACTCCCTCTCTAATCTTATCAATAAGAAGAATATCATCAGCAAAAAGCATACACCAAGGTACATCCTCTTGCAAATGTCTAGTTAGAACATCTATGACTAAAGCAAAAAGATATGGGCTTAAGGCCGATCCTTGATGTAATCCAACCAAAATAGGAAAATACTTGGTCAAACCACCTTGTGTTTGAACACAAGTAATAGCCCCAGCATACATATCTTTAATAATTTGAATATAAGCATTATTAACTCCTTTCTTTTCAAGAACTCTCCAAAGCACTTCTCTTGGAACTTTATCATATGCTTTCTCTAAATCAATAAATAACATATGTAGGTCCTCCTTGTTCTCTCTATAATTCTCTATCAAACCTCTCAATACATGTATGGCTTCCATTGTAGACCTGCCCGGCATGAATCCAAATTGATTTTAAGAAACATTAGTATCACGTCACAACCTAAGCTCCATAACTCGCTCCCATAGTTTTAAAGTATGACACATTAACTTAATTCCTCTATAATTCGCACAATCTTGAGCATCACTTAAGATTGTGCGAATTATAGAATTTACTAAATAACAAAATTCGTTTATGACCTTTAAAATTTAGATTATTTTTTACATCACTTTAATTATTATTTCTTTCAAAATTTCAACTGATATATGGATGCATATATGTATGCTAATATTTTAATTATGCCAAAAAATTTAAACCAATAAGCACGCATATCGACAACTAATCTACCTAATTTAGTATCCAAAGATGTCCCTTCTGATCGATGCTTTGTCATCAAGGATGAGATCTTGCCTTTATCTTAATTGAATTTGATTCATTAGCTTATGATATTCCCCACTGGATTCATCCGCCTATCGAACTCTTTCATACGAAGTCATATGTACTATCATTTTATATAAGTTATTAGGGATTTGATCCTTCTAGCTAATCACTTTTAATTGTAATACTGTCAAATGTTTGATCAATTTATTGTTGTAAATTAGCATCCAATTGGCATGTCCACTAAGTTTCCTATTCAATGCATTAGCCACCACATTGGACTGTATTGGATATCAAGATCATAATCCTTGATTAATTCTAATCATCTTTGTTTCCTCAAATTTAAGTCCTTATTCAAATTTAATTCCTTATTATAAAAATATATTTTAAATTTTTGTGATCAATAAATATTTCACACCTCACACTATATAAATAATGCCTCTAGATTTTCAAAGCTAACACTATTGTAGCCAACTCTAGGTCATGTGCTGGACAATTCTTCATCATTAGTGTTGATATTAAGCTCTATTAAACTATGAAACAAGATAATAATGTAGTTGGGCAGAAGTACAAGTATGTAAGAATATAAATTTTTTTGGATCCTTAAAAAACATAAAAATAAGAATATCCTTAAAATCTCTAGCAAGGCCAATACAAGCCACGAAATATGGATTCCTTCTGAGATAACCCTTCATATATAACTTTATTACTCCTTTATCGTGTTTACTCATTACATCAATTTAAAACTAGCACCCACCTCAAAGGTAAAATGTTGTAAAAAAAATTGATTTACTCATTTAAGAGGAAAAATTGAATATATCTATACTACTGTAAAATGTGAATTGTAATTCTGCCAGTAAGCGATCCTCATTTTTTTTTTAATTAAAATTAATCTGCACTGTTTGATTTTGTGCCTCTTCATATTCCTCTCCCGTCTTCCCATTTCTTTCTTCGACTTCGAGTGAGGAATTTTGAAACCATTTCTTTTTTCAGCTTCGCATGAGGAGTTTTGAAAGAGTCCCTAAAAGGACCTTCTTGGCCTTCTCCTCTCTGATAGGAAGTCAGGCTTCATGTCAGGAGTTTTGATAGAGTCGGTAAAAGGACTTTCTTCTCCTTCTCCTTTTGGATTGGAGGTTACGATGGATTCCTCCTCTCATGGTGGGAAGGAGATAACAAACTGAGTTGTTGAAATCGAAAGTCATGACGGGATTGGAAGTCACGATGAGAATTCGCTGAGAAGGTAAAGATTGTTTTCTCCTTGAATGCTTTTTCAGGATTGTAAATTCTATGTTTTTTTTTTTAATTCATTGAAACGCTTAATTAATTACTATTCGGTGATACTTAAGCTAAATCTTTCTTAAATCCTACTACCAAACAACATTAATTTGTTACAATTCGGAGAAGAGGTGTTTTGTGTGGCATTTCTTGGTGTGGTGGTGATGATATCTTCACTTAGGACTGCAACTTCGATACGAGTATATCAGAAATGGGCACAATCGTAAGCCTTGCAACAACCACCTGATTATTTATTTACTTATTTATTAGTTCATGTAAATTATATAAAAAAGCTTGAAGTGTTTTTTTTCCTTGTGTGAACTATATCTTTAGTCAAGCGAGAAAGAAGTTTGGACTTCCTGAGAAGCACAACGATTATGTGGTGAGAGCTAAGTCATTCCATAATAAAGAAGAGACTCTTCATGTAGGGTTTTTGTAGTAATATTCTATAGTATAGTGGCCACATATGTATCAGAAAGGGTACTAATGAGATTTGAGGATATCTTGGTTTATAGATACTTGGAGAGTAAGCCATGTCCAGGAACCCAGATGAGTTATATTTCAAGATGATAAGTTTGAGAGTGATTGATGGAGCACATAAACCAAAGTAATAAACCATTAACACATTATTTAATTTTATTTTTTCAACTTTTCATTTTTGTTTTGTTTTGTTGAGCTTCTTGTTTAATTATTTACACATCTTTTTAGGAGTCAAGCAAATAAGTATAGCCACGATGAACAACCCATGCTGATGAGGACTTAAGGTATTGGATATGTCATTCAAAAACTTTAGACTGAGAATAAGGTTAGTATTAGGGTAACACTCTTTTTCTAGCTAGATGAAACACTGTCATTTCAATTGCTTATTTCTTTCTTTCTTCTTTTACATAGGTTGCATTTGCTTTGGAGAAAATTGATAAGAAATATTTTTTAAATCACAGTTAAATTTGATCATTTTGATTTAATTGTGATACATAAAAAATTGATTTTATGAATGAAATTCTAACTTATGTGTTTCTTATGTGCTTTTGCTGAAACCCAAGGAAAAACTAAAGTAAAACCCGAAGCCTGAATTAAATGGTTATTCACTTTCTCCTCCAAACAAATGTGAAAAGCTATTTTCAATTCATGTTCTTTAATATCTCCTTTTCCATTTCATTTTTATTTCCTCTCTCTCAACTCCAAACCAAATGGAGCTATCCTCGGTTGTGGCAATGAAAATTTTGTTTATTAATCTGTAACAATAGAAAAAACAACTCTATTTTTTGAATGAGAATTACACTCTATACCCGATCAAATCATTAAATTTTTAACATGATCTATATTATATATATAGTTATAAATATATAATGCCCAACATATTCTTGTATGTCAATCACGTCACTCTTTTTTATAATATCATATAAAATGCGTTCAAAATGCATTGACTTTGTCGATTTTAAAAAAATGATATGTTTGAGAATCGATTAAACTAGTTAGTTATTCTGACTGATTCATCGAAATTTCCTTGAGTGGCATTCATTTTTTTGATACACTGTTAAACTGAGTATGCTACTTTTATGATCCTTGCAGTTCATTTCTTCATGAGGTGTATGATGATCAACTTTATATTAATTTATGAAAAGTGGTGGACCTTCCAACAATGTATCCATGAGTATGTTATTTTTCTCATACAATTGTAGTTTTTTAGTGAGTGAGAGTTATAGTGGGTCATTGGCAATAATGGGTCATTGATGTTGTCGTTGTATATTTCTCATCATTTAGACTAACAAGATTGTTTCAATTCTTTGTTGCCGGCGCACAAGGATCTCAAAACACCATTTTTGATGCATGGGTGCAAAGTTGCTGACGATTATGGGATTATGCTTTTGAGTTGTTTTCTTTTGTATCTTGTAGAATAGCAGTGTGGGGATTATTAAATATCTATAGTATTATTATTGCTTGCTGCAGGAGACGATTGATCAATATTTTAAACTAGCTTTGTCGCTTGAGTACTTATGATTGGGCAAAATGTTTTGGATAAACCACAAGTAGTTTTTAGCCAATTTGTTTATAAGCATGCAAAGAACTTGTCATTATTTTAAGGCCATAGCTGTAATTTTTTTGCAATAAATTTATAAGAATTAGTGGTTGGTATCTCAGATTTACTTGAACCAGGACATTTATTTCAAATGAGAAGCAGGTAATTCTAGAAGGGCTCATTGTTAGCATTATCTGAGTGCTATTTAATTGGATAACCCTATGGTGGTTCAGTAATGTAGGTTGGGTTTAGAAAATTTCATGAGAAGATTTTGTTTTTTGGAGTTGAAATCTTCTTTTCTCTATAATGAACATGGATGGGTTTTTGCCATTATATTGATTCATTTGCCTCAAATAGTGCGCATTAGTATAACGATGATAATGGTAATGGCGCTGAATGCTGATTTCATTTTCTAGGGGTATGGTTGCTTTTGGTTTTTTCTACCTTACTCTCACTCAGAGTTACATAAAGCAAAGTTAGATGTAATTATGCCTTGGAAGTTGTATTACCTGTATTGATTCTTAATATATTTTTTTGTTATTATTTTTGCTTGCTAATGTGTCTCTTCTAAATTATTTTGTGTGCAGGTGACTGCTGTGGGGATCAATACTGAATGGGGATTTTTGATGGCCAGTATATCGGAAGGCAGTGGTGAACAAACTCCATTATAGGTTTTTTGTGGCCCATTTTATTAATGTTTTGCTTATGATTATACTGATTTCCCTATGTGATTCATTTATGGTTCCTCTGAAAAGGTGCGCTTGAATGGTGTTGCTGCTTTAATTGGCACAGTAGGGCTCTCTGTTGCCGCGTTGGTTCTTGTTGTCCTTATAATCATAAGGACAACATGAACCCAATATATAATTTACATGTTTTTAGTTTTAGATCTTGCAAACTGAAGACTTTGAGATATAATTTTTAGACTCTTCATTGGTCATACAAAGAATTTTGATGGAAGTGTTCAATTTTTCAAGGGGCATACAAGTGTGAAAGATGATGTAGATGGAGCTGTTAAGATTTTGACTGTTGCGGTATGTATCCATATGAAAGACTTGGATCTTGTTATTCTAGTTACTAATTAGCCTGTAAATTATAAATAGGTGACTATTATGGTTGTTGCTGTACCAATGGTCTTCCATTAGCTGTTACATTGATGTAAGTGTTGATTGTATTCCTTTCTTGATGATATGATGTCAAGTTCTTCATGATTCTAATGGTTAATTGATTTTCCCAATTTCAGTCTTGACTACTCAATGAAGAAGATAATGGCAAACAAAGCATTGGTATGCTTCTCTTCTTATCGTTTCACAAGTTGATAGCCTCTGAAGCTGTAACGTAGCCATATGAAAGACTTGGATCTTGTTATTCTAGTTACTAATTAGCCTGTGAGTTATAAATAGGTGAGTATTATGGTTGTTGCTGTACCTAAAGGTCTTCCATTGGTTGTTACATTGATGCAAGTGTTGATTGTATTCCTTTCTTGATGATATTATGTCAAGTTGTTCATGGTTAATTGATTTTTCTAATTTCAGTCTTGCCTACTCAATGAAGAAGGTGATGGAAGACAAAGCATTGGTATGCTTCTCTTCTTATCAAACTAGAATTCTATACATTCAACTATTATTAAGTTGCTACGTTACAGCTTCGGAGCGTATCAACTTGTGAAACGATTGGATCTACCACTACCATCTGCAACGATAAAACTGGAACTCTAACATTTAATCAGGTATCATTGTCTATGCTTCCATCATATTATTGTTATTATTGTTTTTTAATTTACCTTTGGATTTTAGTTTTAGAAATTAGATAGTTTGGATTCTGATGATTTCTAGAGTGACACTGTTATTGGGAGTTGGGTAGATTAATCATATATGTTATCCTATTATAAATGGTCATCTTAAGTTCTAATTGATTTTGTGGTAATGATTCATTTGACGGTTGTGGAAGCTCATGTGGGTGGGGTAAAGCTAACTTCTCCAGATGATGGCCAAAAGTTATCATCTTCAGCATATTCTTTATTGTTTGAAAGCTTTGCATAGAATGCCAGTGGTAATGTGTATGAGCCAAAGGTAACATTTTTTTATTGAAGCCCTTCACCCTTGTTCAAATAGGTTGTCTGAGTTAGAGATCAAATGATCTATTTTTCTGATGAAAATTTTCATTTCTTTTCAAATAATTTGATAGTTGATGTCTACTTTTGCTATAATGATTTCCAACTCTATTCTGCAAAGTTTTACTCCAAATTTGTTATTTTAGGGTGCTCTATTTGTGCATTAGTAATGTATTTGTTTTCATCACCAAAATCAAACATAACTTTACTAGTTTAGTTACAGTTATTAAAAAATTTCTTTTAAATCTACATAAAATCTGCAATCTACACAATATTTTAAAGACATGTCTTTACTATACCCACCTAGTTTTAATGCTAGAAGTTCTCCTCATGTATATTTCTATTTTTTTATTTTTAATTTAACACATCTAATGTACTTACATTTATTAGTTTTTACCACTTAATCTTTCAATACTATTCATTGACAAGTTATAATTTCTTATATTCAGTATATCTTGTAGACATTAGCTTTTAGTGATTTATATAATAGATTAGATACTAAAAAGGGAGAAAGATATATGTATAAGTTAGCCAAACAAAGAGATAGGAGTAGTAAGGATTTAGTTCAAGTGATGTGTATTAAAGATGAAGATCAAAAAATATTTTTCTTAGAAGATGATATTCAACAAAGATGGATGAGATATTTTGCTAAACTTTTTAATGAAGATTGTGAAAATAAGATTGACTATAGTGACCTTAGCACCCTAAATGAAAATAAAGATTTTTGTTTTTATCGGCGTATTAGTAAAACTGAAGTTAGAGAGACTTTAAAGAAAATGAAGGGTGGAAAAGCTGTTGGACCTGATGATATTCCAATAGAGGTGTGGAAATGCTTAGGAGATGAAGGAATTTCATGGCTTACTAAACTTTTTAATACTATTTTGAAGACTAAAAAGATGCTAGATTAGTGGAGAATGAGTATGTTAATTCCTATTTTTAAGAATAAAGGTGATGCACAAAATTGTGCGAATTATAGAGGTATTAAGTTAATGTGTCAAACTTTAAAACTATGGCAGCGAGTTATGGAGCATAGGTTGCGGCGTGATACTAATGTTTCTCAAAATCAATTTGGATTCATGCCGGGTAGGTCGACTATGGAAGCCATACATTTATTAAGAGGTTGATGGAGAAATATAGAGAAAATAAGGAGGATCTACATATGATATTTATTGATTTAGAAAAAGCATATGATAAAGTTCCAAGAGAAGTGCTATGAAGAGTTCTTGAAAATGAGTAGATCTAAAACGGAATATATGGAGTGTAATTTTAGTAGTAATAGTCCTAGTGAGGGGATTGTGACTTTGGTCGATCAAGTCATTAATAAGAGTACACGTTTTAGGTATCTTGGATCTATTGTTCAGAGTGATGGTGAAATAGATTGTGATATTATCAGCATAATTCAAGTTGGATGGTTGAAGTGGAGGAATGCATCGGGCTTGTTATGTGATCGAAATGTACCCCTCAAACTTAAGGGAAATTTCTATAAGATGGTAGTGAGGCCTGCAATGCTTTATGGTGCCGAATGTTGGCCATTAAAAGAGAAGCATAATTCTTTGTTAAGTGTGGCAGAGATGAGGATGCTTAGATGGTTGAGTGGCTTTACCCTTAGAGATAGGATACGAAATGAGCATATACGTGAAAAGGTTGGAGTAGCTCCAGTAGAAGATAAGATTAGAGAGAGTCGCCTTAGATGGTTTGGTCACATAAAACGGTGGCCTTTCGATGACCCGGTTAGGAGAGTAGAGGTATTAGATTTGACTTATGTTAAGAAAGGTAGGGGTAGACCTAAAAAGACTTGGTTAGAAAATATTAGGAATGACCTTTCTTTATTAGATTTAAACGAGAATTTGACTTTTAATAGGACACAAAGGAGAAAAAGGATTCATGTAGCCGACCCCACGTAGTGGGATAAAGGCTTGATGTTGTTGTTATTGTATAATTTATTATTGGTTGAAGGCTTAAAACATAATTTGTTAAGTATAAGTCTGCTATGTGATAAAGGTTACTATGTAAAATTTTTTTCTACTAGCTGCATATTATGCCTAAATGGTAAAGACGTTTTGAATGAAAAAAAGGTAAACAATGTGTATATGCTAAATTTAAATTGCATTCAAAATCCTACTACTCTTTTTCCCTTATGGGCCTTGAGTCGCTTATGTAGCCCGGAAGGGCATTTGTGTCATTTCTTGTTATTTCATTTTGGCCTATTTATATGAGGCCTCATGCATTGTAATTTCAGTTTGGATGAAATGAAATTTACTACTTGTTCTCTTTGTGAGTTCCTCCCTCCAAGATCTCTTAGTGAGTTCGCCGGAGAAGACTAGATCTCTTTGTGAGTTCTAGTTTTCGTACTATCTAATCTTGTGGAAATTCAAGGTGAAGACAATTGAGGTTAGTAAATCTGTAGTCGTCGAATCCTTAGAATTCCTTTTCTCCCTCTCCTTGCTCTTACCGCTGCCGCCTCTTCCAAGCAGCCCAAAGCCGCCGGCCTGAAATTTAGCCGCCGCCGGCCAGCCCACACCGGCCAGCAGCTGGCCACTCGTTGGCCAACCTCCCGCCGGCCAGCCCAGCAGCCCATTCCCGCCGCCTTCCCCTCTTGGAGCCTCCCACCATTTGAATTTCAAATCCCTTGAGCTATTAACCTTCCTAATTGGTGCTTATGCAATTAAGCCAGCCATTAAAGAGATTAAATCCAATTCGAAATTCAAATTTGATCTCCCTCTCATTTTAAATTGTGGGAAGTTACTTAAGCTACAATTAAACCTGAAATTAAAATTCAGATTTAATTGAATTACTTACTTAAACTTGGGCCCCACTCTCGTAACTCCTTAATCCCTCTCCCCCTCCTCATATGGCCGACCCCTCTTTATTGGTCTTCTCTCTCTTCCAAATGGCATTAATACACCACTAAATTAGCCCAAGTTCCTTCCCATTGCCGCCCCCATCAATTCCCTTTTGAATTAATTTGAATTTCTCAAATTAATTCCCTCCCACCCCTTCTAAAACTGAAATTACTTCATATTTTCAATTTATTTTCTTCGGAGCCTTTCTTTAATCCATCATCTCAAGCACTCAAGACAATTCCCCTTCCTCCCACAACCCGCCAACTTCTCCTCCCCCTGCCCAACTCTTTTGCGTTCCTCCCTCCCGGCAAGATGCATGGCGGACCCCGAATTTGAATGGAACTTTGGATTTGTACATGACGAGCAAGATCAAGTCGACATCCTCCAATCACCGTTCTTTGATTTGGGCTTTGATTTCGACGACACAATTGAAGATTACATCGACCGTATCCATTACACCTTAGTGGATGTGATCGACGAGCAAAGATCAAAAGGACGTTGGATCATCATTGGACGACCGTCATCCTCCACCACTCCGGCCACCTATCCAAGAACGACGATCTTAGGCTCCTTCTTCCTCGGAGTGACATCGGTTCTAATGTGGACTCTTCTTCCGCTAAAGCCTAGACTAGTTGAGCGTATGGGCTCCAAAGGTGAAAGTTCTCATTATTAGATCATAGATTCTTGTGTATCGTCGTAGTTTACAATTGCTCTTTGCGTTTTTTCTTGAATTGTTTGGGAATCGGCTTGCTCTTCTTTGCCTAAGCAAGTTAAAGACCAAGAATTCTAAGGATCAATCATTGTTATAAGTAATAAATTTATTTTGGGATTATTTTGTTAAATTCGCTATCTTTAATTTCCTTAAAGTAACTCCTGAATGGGTACGTTTTACATCATCTTGGTATCAGAGCATGGTAGACATGCATGACATGTTAGAAGAACATCCTAGGGTCTAACCGTTCATTCTAGCTTTAAAATTGCATGCATATCCTTGTGTAGTTTCAATTTACTCACTGTTTTAACTGCTGTCCATGCATTTCATGCACACTTTCATCAGCGTTTAAGCCACTCTAGCTAGTATCTTAGTGCTGCCTTTAAACCCATAACGATAATAAGTGCTTAGGACAACTACACCCTTAATATAAGCTGCTGTCCTCACTGTTCCAGCAACTTTTATGCACCATTTAGTGAGCTTAAAGTCGTGTCTAGGTGCTGTCCTCACCCTAGTGGTATCCCTATAACATCTAGACGACCTAGACCATTGTGTAGTTTGCTGTCCTGATTTTTCCTGCTGCTGTTGGGGCCTTTTTGTGAGAAATTCAGTGTATTTAGGTGCTGACCACACTCTAGAAACCTTCCTAAACACTTAGACAACTTTATGTCATGCTGTAGTTTGCTGTCCACATCATTCCTGCACGCATCTAGTGAACTGTAGGCTAGTTTCTTAAGTATATTAGGTGCTGTCCTCAACCTAACAACCTCCCTAAGTGCCTAGGTTACTTGACCCACTAGTGTAGCTTGCTGTCCGAACATTTTCTGCACCTTGTAGTGAGTCTAAGTGAGCCTAACTTAGTGTCTAAATGACGTCCCTTACACCCAATTGTCTTTGAGTGTCACTTGACGCTTCCCAATGGACCCGATAAGACTCCAAAAGAGTTTAGATGACATCGTTAACCTAGTGGGCAATATGACTAGAATTATGACGGAGAAACCCGTTGACTATCCCCACTCTAATTACATGCCCCACTTAGCTTATCACCTGAGACCTGAGCCTAGGCCTCCACGACCTCACTTAGAGTCACCTTATCATCTTCCTACCTTTGATGGTTCTTTTGACGTTTACTACTTTAGGGAATGGGTTAGACAACTAGATGACTATTTTGAATCATGTCATATCCCTGAGTCCCACCAGATTAGCATCGTTAAGTCTCACCTTAAAGGTCGAGCTCTTCAATTTTGGATAAAATTGGAAGATCATAAAGAGTCTCGCGGTGAGTACCTTACTTGGAAAGACAAGAGACGAGAACTTAATTTGAAATACCGACCCTCTACTAGTGACCGTCATCTAGGGCATCACCCTACCTCTTTTATTGGGACAACTCGTGGACCT